TTAATTGTGTGACAAATTCCATAGCATCTTTATGCCTTAGTTTCCCCATCTGAACTGAAGATACAAATAATACCTATCTCAGAGAATTATCATGAGGATTATGGGAATTAATATATGTAAAGCACTTAGTACAGTGCCTGCACATGGAAAGTGCTATATAAGTGTTTGCTATTATCATTGTTTGCTACAAAATAAGAATTTTATCATAAATGTCACAAAGAGATACTGATAATCTGAACCAAACCAATAATGGGATGGCAAGGGACTAGAAAATACACTTTAAGGAGATTATCCAACCACAGGTCATTCCCAGGGGCTACAGGGAAAGAAGGGCAGAAGGTTACCCTCTGTGGGTGCATTTGATCAGATACCTATTTCTGATCACACACAAAAATGTGCTTGAGTACTACTTGATACCAGAGCTAAGTCCATGGGCCATAAGTAGAGGGAGGGAGAAAAAGGGCCAAGCGGAGAACTAGATAGAAGAAGAGCACAAGCTCACTTCTGTAGTTCTTTCATTCTTACCAGAACATTTATAATCCATATCAGATTCACTAATGAATTAATATTCCAAGTTTTGATGTGTGAATTTTAGCAAATTATTTAGTCTCTTTGAATCTGTTTCTTCTGAGATCATATGAGATTAGGCGCATTCAGGTGGTCAGGCCATAGACTGAATCTGTTTATAAAATGAAAATGATGATCATAAAACTTCTTCAGGTTGTTAAATTAAAGGAAATAATCCATGTAATGTGATTAGCCCAGTGCCTTAAACATAGGAAGTGTCCTTCATGGTTATTATAATCAACATCATTTATCATCATCATTAGTTGGTATTTGAATCTCAGATTCCTGAATCCTGACCTGACACAGCATTTGCTGCTATACTTTTTCCTCATTCCTCAGGCATCTAAAAGAAATTAATACAGAGACAAAGACCAAACAAATGCTTGCACTTTATTACTGTAAAGCTTTTGCCTTTGTATAGTAAGCCCTAACTGAGCTAGACTCATATACACCAACGTAGCCTCTCCTCTGGCAAGACAGAGGCTTTAAAAGCATGCTGAGAAGATCATGTAGTTTTGTTCCTAAGGCTAAGCACTAAATTTGCCTAACTCACACTTCCCAAATTTTCTTAGAGTAGGACATTCATATGAAAGAGGCTACTTTCAGAGTGAGAACAAGATGGCATACCAGTTCGAAGGTAATCCTTGCAGTAATCCATGATGGTGGCTTAGATCAAGGTGGAGGTAGTGAGAAGTGATCAGATTCTGGATAGGTTTTGGCCAAGGAGCTAACATGATACTGATGGATCATGGATCAAGGGAATTAAGGATGACTCCAAAGTTCATGACCTGAGAAACTGAAAGAATGAAGTCTTTGTAATGTAATGTTCTTGGTCAACCTTGCAGTCTTTTCATCTACAAGGTCCTATCATTGACTAGAGCTAATTTTGCTATGAGGATAAGTTATATACAAATCGATGGTTATTTCCCTCAATAATAATTCTCAGTATAGAGGACTTAAAGCATAGTTTGTTAGATTACCCTTAGGTGTTTGAAGTTTTTAAATGCCATTATAAATTTTGTTTTATGTTTGTTTGCTGGTATAAACAAGTAAATAGAATTTACTCTTGTTGACCTTATAACCAACAGCATTGCTAAATTCTCTCATGAATTCTTGTAGTTCCTCTGTTTTTAAAGATTTTCTATGTACAGGTTTGCAGTTTTATTTCTAATATTTGTGCTTATTGCTTCTTTTTCCTCCTTTGTTGCACAAGCTAAGAATAATATGATACTAAATAGAAGTATTGATAGGAGGTTTCTTTGTCTCATTTTTCTTCTCCAAGAGAATGTTGGCAATATTTCTCTATTAAATAGGATATTTGCTATGAATTCTTCCAGAAATAATCTTTGTAAGATTAAATAATTTGCCTTCTGATCCTAGTTTGCTGAGTCTTTATCATGTATAGAAATTGTTAGAGATGTTATGTTAAATGGCTTTTTTGTGTGTGTGTGACTTTAGAGTTCTCAACCCTATCAGATCCCAAATCCCCTTTCTGTAATAAATTTTATGAAAAGCCCCTATTACTGACCGTACTTAAAGTGAAATTCATAGCTGATACAATCCCCCTACACTTATGTATGTTTTAAATATAAAGAAGAAATAAGCATAATTTATAATAAAATAATGAATTCACTATGCAGATATTCTGGTATAACTATACTGTCATATAATATATTGCCTATCAAATATCCAAAGCAGTTTTTAGGGTAGGATGCCACTCCCATTCAGAATCATTGTTTTAGAAGATATTAGCAAAGGTTTGCATTTGTAACAGACTTCTTTGATTAGAGATGAATCATGAGTAATATCAGAAAATGCCAACTGTCATTAGGATAATTTTAGGCCTTATAGTTATAATGACCAAAAAAAGAGAACATTTTTTCTTGTGTTATCTAGGGGAAGGTTTACTCATTCAACAAATATTTACTGAGTATTTGCCATGTGTCTGGCACTATTCTGGATGCTAATAATAAAACTGTGAGTAAAACAAAGCTGCTAGCCTCTTAGACTATGCTCACTAGAAAAGAAAGGAATAAACTAATCAATAAATATATAACATGTAAGACTTTTAAATCCTGCAAAGAAAAACTAGGCAAAGTAAACAACTAGAGAATGATGGGGTGTATACATGTGTAGATATGTGTTGTATTAGATAGGATCGATAAGAAAAAAGCTTGAGTGGAGATCTGAATGTGTACTGCTGCCTGGAGATGAGCTTTCTAGGAATAGGAAAGAGTTAGCACACTTGGTATAGAAGTTGAAAGACAGCAAATATTTTTTAGCATCTAACATTTACCAGGCATCAAGTTAGGCATTTTATTTACATTGTCTTATTCATTCCTTCCAGTAATCTTATGAGCAATGATATCCTGATTTTACAGATGAGAACATTGAGGCAACAAATTAGAAAGTGATGCAGTTAAGAGTCAAATCCAGACTCACCTGGTTCCAAAGCCAAGGAATTGGATGAAGGGATGCTTTCAGGAGCACTCTTCTTTTAATGATCTGTCACAGTACCATAAGAATAATTTAGTTCCATTCAGAGAAATGAGAGAACTGGGTAGAGGACTTGAAACATAATCATTTACAGCACTTCATGTAGCATTTTTTTTTTTTCTTTTTGAGTAGAGTCTCAATCTGTCACCCAGGCTGGAGTGCAATGATGCAATCACAGTCATTGCAGTCTCGACCTACTGGGCTCAGGTGATCCTTCTGCCTCAGCCTCTGAGTAGTTGAGATTACAGGCATGCACCACTACTCCCAGCTAATATTTTGGTTGCATTTTAAAAATATTATAGAACAAGTAAAGACTTTGGAATATTGTGAATGGAAAACATCCTAGTTAAGTTAAAATGAATAAGATTATTCATTTTGTGGACTTTCTGTGCCTTTCGTTTGTAGATCTAGATTCATTAAATAATAACCATGGCCAACATTAGTGTTGCTACTTCCAAGCATTATTTTAACTACTTCACAAGCTTTGAACCTTTCATTTCAATATCAGTATTCCTCAAATAACAGGGAATATTTTATTAGCTTAGGTTTCCTATTCATTCTAGTAGGTCCAGATTGTAGCTCTAGAATAACTAAAGGGACATTGTGGTATGTTAACAATTAATTATGGGAAGTTTTTAATCTAGTTTCAAGGTGACTAAATTCTCAGAGTATATCGATGCCAGTATCACTATTAGTATAGTTTATGCTTACAACCATGTCAGATTGAGAAAAAGTAAGTGAAAGTAAATTACTTTTCTTTAGACTTTATCAGATAGCAATTAAGAACACAAAGAAAGAGACAATATTTGAAATAATTAAGGGCATAGATTTTTCTGTTGAACTGTCTGGGTTCAGATTCTAGCTCCTACTTTATTAGATCTGTGATCCTGGCGAGTTACTTAATTTCTCTGAGCCTCTTCATCTGTAGAATAGGCCTACTAGCAGTACCTACCTTTTGGGGCCTTTGAGGAAATTTATGTGATAAATTTCGTAATAGCCACAATTTGTTGAGAACCATTATCATTATTATTGTTTCTGTTGTTAAATTGAAAGACATTAGAAAGTAATATAAGTTAAGGAAGAAAAATTCTTTTTGGACACAAACTACTTGAAATTTTTAAAAATGCAAATAAAAATAACCTTATTAGGATATTTCTTTTATTTTATAAGATCTGTCAGACCAAATTATTTTAGGTAAACCGTCTCAATTACTTTTAAAAGTAACTTCAAGATACATTTTAAGTTAAAATAATTAAATATTTTAAAAATATAATTTATTTGAGAAATAGAGGTTTGTCACATGGTAATAAGTTGTACCATCAGTTTCTAAAAATAGGAAATTATTAATTTTAGTAAATAGAGCTATATTGTAGTAGATTGAATTTCTTGACTATTTTGTATGTCAGCTGAATTTTTTGATAATGTTTCGCAACCAGTTAGACAATGGATTTTAAATAGCTATTTTGAATTATTTGTGCCTCAAATCTAATACTATGGTGGCAGTACACATTTTCTAAAGTCTTAAAAGATACCATTTTTTCATGGAAATTGTTCAAAGAACTTGTTACTAAAGCTTATAACTTAGGTGGTAAGCTCTAGGTATTAGACTGGCAAGTAATTTCTTAGCGAATATGCCCGCCCATTTCTTCTATCCCATAAAATAAGAAATCAGGAGTTTACAAATATTGTGCCCAGAGATGCAGAGAATGTTTTGATAGTATGAATTCCTGTGAAATTGTTGCAGGTAAAATTAATAAGTTTAAAGAAGTAAGCCTTTCACAAGGAAAACATTTTCAAAAACAACTTAAAATATTGCAAATATTTTTATTTTTTGTCAGATTTTATATAGACATATTATCTTTCCTGATAGGAACTTGAAACAGTTGTGTTTATATTAGCCAGATATGTATATAATAATTACTATTTATTTTTTAAAGGTTTGGAAGTCCAAAGAGATGACATTCTATGGATAGCCATGGCAGGAACTCATCAGATATGGGCACTCCTATTGGATTCTGGCAAATTGCCAAAGAAAAAGTAAGTGGCAGCATCTCTCTTTGAGTGGATTGAATTACTTGGAGTTCATAGAATTTCCTTTCCCAAAGTCACCATACTCCCAACACCCACTGTGCTCTTCAGGATATGCTAGGTAATCCTACCATAACAAACAACCCAGATTCTCAGTGCCTTAACTCAAGTCCTGTTTCTTGCTAATTCACTTAGGTTCACTGGGGAGCACTCCTCTGTCACCAGGTTGATGAAATAGGCACTCTCTGGAGCTTTGCCAGTCATCCTGGCAAAGTGAGAGAGAAAGAGGTAGGAGGTTACTCACTGGCTCTTAGAACTTCTACTCGAAGTGACACACATCACTTCTACTCACATTGCATCAGCTACAGTAAGTCTTATGGCCACACTTAAGTTCAAAGAACCTGGACAACATCTAGATGGAGAACTGGGAATATTTGATTGGTCCTCATCTTTTAAGACATACTTCAAATGATCTTCAATCATTCATTCAAAGAGTACCACATAGGACAGAGTGGTTATAGCTCAGGTTTTGTAATCAGGCCTGAGATTGAATCCTGGCTCTGCCACTTATCTGTTTGAGTCTTGGGGAGCCACTTTAACTTCCTAATTTGTTTATATTACCTTATTTATATTACCTCATAGGCTTGTTTTAGTAGTAATAATATGTATGAAGCACTAAGCACTAAGCCTAGTATGTTCAGTAAACATTGGTAGCTTTGCTGCCACTGTTGGGGATAAAAGGATGAAAGGGTAGTATCTACAGAGTTTCTCATATCTGCTCCATACACCCCAGGGAAAACTGACCATACTCTTCTCTGTGACCAGACCATACATGGTATGTAGTTACATCAATACACTGATAAGTTTGCCTGCCCCTCCACTCTCTCTCTTTCTCTTTGTCTCTCCATTTTCTTTTTGATTGCTATTATTTCTAACTATTTCCTCCTACTAGACTGTCTCTTAAAGTGAGGGACCCAGTCTCATTCATGTTTCCACCCCCTGTATCTAGCACAATATCTGGTACATAGTAGGAGCTCAGTAAGGGTTTGCAGAATAAATGAGTGAATGAAAGCCATAGAACATAAAGGCTGTGAAATAGCCATGGAAAGTGGTCATCTTGGTTACATTTGTCTGTGGAAAGGAGTATAGATAATCTCAAATATCAGATATTTCAAATAGTGTGTTTAAATGCGTGTTGCTTTAGAACACATTTATATAATGTTTTACAATGTTTAGTCATTCATCTAACAGGACCACCCTCTTTTGAGTCCTCTCCCGCTGTCAGAACTTTTCTGTCTTCTTAATAAACTCCTGCTTTCTAAAAAAAATAATAATAATATTCATCTAACAAATGTTTATTAAACATACTGTACACAAAACACTTTGCCAAGACAATAGGGATAAAATGATGTTCACTGTGTTAAGTATGTCATAAAAAGATGTGGTCGCTGTCCTCAATGGGCTTAGAGAGGCAGAATCAGATCAGCAAGCAAACACTTAAAAAGTAATGTGTGTAAAAGGAATCACTGCTGTAGTTTCTTAGTTTGCAAATGTTCGTTATGTAAGAGGAAGACCCAATACCAATAAGATCTGAGATGTCAAGGAAGACTTCCTGAAAGAGGTTACCAAACTGAGACCTGATAGAGAAGTAGGAGTTAGGGAGAGAGGGAGGTTTTCCAGGCAAGAGTTGACACTAGTGATGTTGGTAGAAGCTAAATCACACAATGCCTTGCAAGTTCTTTAAAGATATTTGGACATTTGACAAACTTTTATAGAAAGCTTTAAGCAGGGAAGTGTCTTGCTTGGATTTGTGTTTTTACAAGAACACTGGCAACACTCAGATTGGAATAAGACTAGAGACAGATAACATTGAGGAGGCTATTGCTGTTATCCAGGCAAGAGATGATAGTAGCCTGAACAGTGAAGTTACATGAGGTTTACATGAGGGATAATTATAAACAGCAAACAAAAGTAACAGACGTTGCCAGAATATGCTGTTCTGGATGATGGCTGTTTTGGACATAGATGGTCAAGAACTGCCTGAATTTCCTAATAAGTAGAGTTGTCACTCTCTTTCATAATAGGAAAATAGTCACTCGGGTCACATTAGCCTGCATCTTAATTTTAAGGAAGTATTATTATTACCTTATTACTGATCTTCAGGTAGCAGGGACCCACTCATGTTTTAAAAGTTACTGTTTCTCCCTATTCTTTCTTTTATATAATTATGGGAACTCCTTTTTTAACGTGTTAGGACTCCTTATAGAAATTACCTTTCAAATAATTTGTTTGCATATTAGTTATTACATGTATTTTCTGGTTAGCTTATTTTTAGAAGTTTATTGAATAAGTGGCCATGGATTATACATGCTATATCCCTTTGCCTCTATCCCCTGCCCCCCCAAATTAGCATTGGTAACATAGAAACCCATAAGTGATGGCCATGTTAGGCTTGTGCTTGTACCGTATTTAGAAATCATCTACATATACTCTGATTTTTGCTTCCTAAGTCAACTTCTTCCCTTCATTCACCATATCGTACTGCTATGTCTTCCTTACAATCCCTCTGGCATAAACTTAGAAACTAAGGTATAAAACTTTCTCACTACAAAAGGAATTGTTGCAGAAGTCCTTTATTTTTTTAATTTTTTATTTTTAAGAAAAAGTCAGGATTTTTTTATTGATACAGGATATTCACACTAGTTCAAATTATACTATGGCTAAAGATGGACCACAATAAATGGTTCTGAGCTTTCTAGGAGACAGACAAAAGAGGAAACATGTTCAGAGATGATATTCATAGGATTCATCCCATAAAAGCAAGGATGTTAAAAAACACAGTTATCTTTTAATGTGGCTCAATTTTTTTAACCATCCAATCATTTTCTGAACTTACTGGCATCCTTTCTAAGCCTCTTTTCTGCATGCATCTCTTTTTAACTTATGTTTTGTTATCTTTATCCACTACTAAATTGTACCATCTATGAAGACACAGGCCTTTGCATATCAGTTTTTATATAACATTGTGCCTCACACATGTCAAGTCCTTTAAATAGAAACTGTTCTAATGTATATAAGAAATTTATTTGTACAATTGATTAAAACAGTATAATCATCCTGTATCATTTTCTTAATGGTATTCCTGACCTGGCTATCCTTTCAAAAACTATTCTTTAATTCCTGTTGTTAATTTCTAGTTATATACAAGAACACAAAACATTTTTAATGAAATTTAAACTATCAGAAACTCAATAATCTTTTTAGTTTCCTTTCAGAACCTAATACTGCATGAAACTAAAGTCAAGATGTTAAGGTGGGGAAAAAAACCTATCTTATCAATAATGTGATCATTATTTTTTTGTTTGTTTGTTTGTTTGTTTTTTGAGTTGGAGTCTCACTCTGTTGCCCAGACTGGAGTGCAGCGGCCACTCCCGGCTACCGCAGCCTCGACCTGCTGGGCTCCGGCGATCCTTCCGCCTCAGCCTTCCAAGTAGCTGGAACTACAGGCGCGCTACCATGCCTGGCTAATTTTTTTTTTTTTTGGATTTATTGTAGAGATGAGGTCTCACTGCCCAGGCAGGTCTCGAACCCACGGGCTCAGGTAATCCACTCACCTCAGCCTCCCAAAGGCGCGGGATTACAGGCTGAGCCACCAAGCCCGGCTGATCATTATTTTTATATAGTATTTCTAGCTCTGTTAAGGATTTCCTCTCTGGCCTGTGAGAGTAGTTTCAGTTTTCTATATGTAAAGGTACACTAGAAAGGGCCCTACTAAATAAGTTAATGATTGGAAAAACAATAGTGAAAGCTGACTTGGATAACTTATTTTGGCTAAGATCATCACTGTGTATTTTTATTTTATTTTATTTTTAACAATGCTTATCACTATTGATTCGTTCATTTACATTCATTGGGCACAGTGGGCCACATGTTAACTCTACTTATGAACTTGTCTTTTTCAGTGAGTTAAAAAAAGGAACCTGTCTTCGCTTTGCTGGAAGTGGAAATGAAGAAAATCGAAACAATGCATATCCTCACAAGGCGGGTTTTGCTCAGCCTTCAGGCCTTTCTCTGGCCTCTGAAGATCCCTGGAGCTGCCTATTTGTAGCAGATAGTGAGAGCAGCACAGTGAGAACTGTCTCACTGAAAGATGGAGCCGTGAAGCACCTTGTGGGAGGAGAAAGAGATCCCATGGTAATGAAAATCACTCTTGCACAGTATGTTCAGACAGTGACCAAGCTGGCAGTTTCCTGAATTGTTGGAAGTTCTTAAGATTTCAGAGATCATTCTTGGCCTATCTGTGAGTTAAAGTGGAAGTCAAACCAAAGGAAGTATGAATATAAAGAAACAAGTAACAAACTATCTAAGAAAAGTAAACTGACTCTACTTAATTACATATAAATGTTAAGCCTTCAGGGAAAAAGAAATAATGAAATATTGATTATTGGAGAGAGGGAGAAAATGTAAATACTGGGCAGTGGAGTAGAAAGAGCACCAGACTAGTGAACTTGACCTGTTCTTTACCAGATGTTGTGAGTAAAGCTATTAAGTACCACAGATTAATACAGGTTCAAAATTCTGTCATTTTTTTTCTAATCTGAGTCGAGTACCCGGCCCTATGTATATGAAAATCAGATCTTTTCATTTTTCAACTTAAATAGCATCTACAACTATCTTAATATTCCCTTATATCCTCATAAAACAGTATAAAACTATAATAACTGCTGTTTCTTTCTTTTTTGAAAAAAATTAAAGAATTTATTTGCTTTTGGTGATGTTGATGGAGTAGGAATCAATGCAAAGCTTCAGCACCCCCTTGGAGTAACGTGGGATGTGAAAAGGAGTTTACTTTATGTGGCAGACTCCTACAATCACAAGGTGAGTCTTGACAGAATTACATAATACCTTGCCTTTTGTATGTGATATTTAAAATGCTGAGAGATCTGTGAGCCTCCTACAACTGCCACTCTAAAATGTAGAGAGGATCAATAGTCTTTGACAACCATATACCACCTTGTACTTTCTTTTCTTGGTCCTTTCATTGCCAAGAGGTTATGCTGATACTCTGAACTAGGAAAAACACTAAAGCAATTCCAATGGCAGTGACTAAAAGTTGTGAATTGTATTCTATCAAAGTTGCTTAGATAAATCAGGTGAAGGCAAGTAGCAGGGAAATTAATATGTCAACTAACAAATGAACATTTTTGAACTGTTGCATAATTGCAGTACCTGCTAGCAAATAATTGTGTTTTCAGCAGCATTTTCATTTTTAATTGTTTACTTGTTTAATTGTTTCAGTTTTTATAGCATTTTTCTTTTTTACAAAAATCAGTGGATAATACATGTTAATGCAGTATTTAATTTTGTGAGACCATGAATTTAAAATAATTGAGACATAACTGGTAATCATTAAGTTTAACAAAAGCAGCAAATCCTCAGGTAATGCAAGATGCTCAAAGAGAAAGTCAGTTCATTTGTGAAAGTGTGTCTCATTGTGGAAAAAAACAATAAAATTAAAAAATTTTAATTCCAGTATTTCATCAAAGATTGCTTCTAGAAAATGGATGTAACCAGGGATTTTATAGTTTTTAGCTCTTAAAATAGAGAGGCTCCCTATAGATTGTAGTGTTTGACTTTTCAAGAAAATATGGAAATACCTATTCTTTTTGTGAGATTTATTATGACTACTAATGTCAATCAGAAATTCCCTAATTTTCTTGGTACTACAGCTATCCTTAGCCACAACCATAAAGTTGATCTTCAGATATATAAATGTTTGTTCTTTATTTTTTAGATTAAAGTTGTGGATCCAAAAACAAAAAATTGTACAACATTAGCAGGAACTGGAGACACAAATAATGTTGTCAGTTCCAGTTTTGCCGAGTCAACTTTTAATGAACCAGGAGGCTTATGTATTGGAGAGAATGGTCAGTTGTTATATGTGGCAGACACCAATAATCATCAAATTAAGGTGATGGATTTAGAAACAAAAACTGTATCTGTGGTAAGTAATCTTAAAGTAGAAGTTAAGGGGTGTGGTTTTTATGAATGATATTAAGATCCTCACAGCACTGACAGAGACATTTGGGGGGTAGGCTGTATTCAGAAGAGTGGTAAGTGGATGCCTCTGTTGTATTTAATAAATAGACTAGCAGGTCTGCTTTAAGTATATCCTGTTATTCTTAAAATAAAAGTTCCATCTGTGCTGAGAGTTTGAGAAAGATACTGGAAGTTGGAGAGAAGTTGATGAGCCCTCAAGGAAAAAAAGATAAGGACTTAGATCTGTTTTTAAGTGTATATACTGACACACAGTGTATACATGTACTATATGAGTTAGGTTGTTTAGCTTTTTGTTTTTCAGTGATCCTTACATTAATGTATAATTTTTGTTTCTTATGGTGAATGTATTACCAGTATAATCTTTCGTTGGAAGCACATTTCTCAAGACATTGAAAATAAGATTGGAAGAAACTTAAGTTACAGTCAATTTTTAAAGATATTGGGCATGATCTCTTATAGAATTTTCAAAGGGAAATGTCTATTTCAAGCTACCTCTTGTTGTATGACATTTACCTGAAAAAATGTAAGAGTTTTTTTGTTTGGTTTTTTCTTAAAGTCTAATAATTTGTAAGGTATATGTTTTTTAAAAAGATAATACCATAACCCGTGTCATTTCCTTTCATATAGATCTCTGATATAAAATGAATAACATCAGGCTTGGGCATGTAGCACCATTTGTCTGCCAGTGCCGAGGGCTTATGCTCTGTTTTGCATTGACAGCACATTTTCAAATCAAAATATGAACATATTTTAGATGTTTATTAAATAATTTATATTTTTGCTGATATTAAGCTAAGATAGTTTTAAAAATGAATAACATCTTATAGTTGACAATGAAAATTATTAGAGAATTCTATTATGTCTACTACATTTAAATTTACAAAGTTTTGCATTAATTTCCTGCCATCTGTAAACATTGGACAACTAATTCTGTCTCATTCGCAAGTATTGGTAATTTTTTTTTTGCTAAGATCTACTTTTTTTGTACTTAGAAAATAATCTTGAGAGCATCTAGATAAACACATTATAATTTAGACAAAAATGGCAATTAGTTTCACTGATATAGAACTTCATTTTCCTATAAAGTCTAAAAATAAGCTCTCTCACTCTACAATTACTTTAAAGTGCTTGTGTTTTAATAACATTTTCTATTTTCCTAGCTCCCCATCTTCAGCTCTGAAAATGCTGTGGTAGATGGCCCATTTCTGGTAGAAAAACAGAAGACATTACCCAAACTGCCTAAATCTGCTCCAAGCATTAGGCTTTCCCCCGTGACTACATGTCCTGGCCAAACTCTACAGTTCAAACTAAGATTAGCCCTCCCATCAGGAACAAAGCTAACTGAAGGAGTATCCAGTTGTTGGTTTCTAACAGCTGAAGGTAAGAATATAATCTTGCAAGTACTAATATTTCATACATTCTCAATGTTTAATCTAGTAATTTTTTCACCTATTATGTGATATTTTTATTCTGTATGGACAAAATTTTAGGGAGATTATGTGAAAGTTATGAATCCAGATCTAACCTTGCTTTGGCAGTTTGTTTTAGTTTTCAAGATTCTTTCCTCCCTTTTATTAAAGAACAGTGTAATTCACCGAAAGTTGTATGTCAGTCGTGAGCACAATTTCATAGGATATGGACTTTCTTATACCTCTTCCCTCATTCCAATCTTGTTCTTCATTCTTTTCTTGTTCTCAGAAAGAACCTCTTAGAGTTAAAAAGTCTGAAATAGAGAAATAAAGTGGAGCCTCCTTATTTAAGCCTTTGTACTTGGATATCCCCTCAGAGGGGACATTATAAACCTACCAAACCAATCGATGTCCCCTCTTGGACATAAAGAGATTACTGGTGACTTATAAAGGACAAACTTATGCAAGTTAAAAACATACATTTTTAAAAATGTATGTTTCCTTGAAGTTTTCCCTTCAAAAACAATGGAAAACCTATGTCCCATCTTAAATTTGTCAAGCTTGTGATCAATCAGATGATAAGTGGTTTTTAGGAATCACAAGTGCATCCTTTCACATCATCTTTGAACAACAGACTGGACAATAAATTACATGTTATTAATGTGGAAGGAAGAAAATGAGCATTGTCTACTCAAATAGAAAAACACCAGGTGGAAGATGTCAAGCACATTACTGTTGCACATGTATCAATGAACCTGCAGTGCATGTCGGTGACTGTTTCACATGTTACTACACATTAGAAAAATATATAAAATTCATATTTTTTTGTCATAAATAACTCCTTAATGTCCAAAATTCCATTGTAAGCCAGATAGCTTTACAGTAAAATTATGACTTCCAGCGCTATGCTACTTAATATAGAGTGATTTGTTTTTCACTATTTTGCTAAAAAGTGCAGTTGAGTTGCTGGTAGATGGTCCATGAGATGTCTCCGAGTGCAAAGGGTTAATATCTTTTTCTATAACTTTTCCTTCCAATCACTTTTATGGACATTTCTCTCTCTCTTCTGTATTTGAATCACAGTGTGAACTGGCTTATTTCATTAATCAATGGTAAGAAATCTGTATACTGCTTGACTTGTGGTAGTGCTTTCCAACATCTGTAACCTAGTGGACAGTAATTTTAGTGTGAAATCTTAATGATCCAGAGCTTCTAAAGTATGACTTCTTGTCTCTAATGATCCTCCTCTGTCTTTAGTCTCCCATGCTCTTTCACACTTTCTCACTCAATCTTCCATTTCCTCCCAACCCCTCCTCTCTCATACCCTCTCACACACTTTTCTTTTGTACATTACCCAAATCCTGGCTTTATGCCTTTTTATGTTCATATTTTCTCAGGACAGCAGCTATTGGCCTACAACTATCAACTCAGTATCCAACCAAGAACACGAAGAAACGTTGGTAGACTTGCTGGGAGGAATTGCTAGTTCGAGTTTGGGAGGCTGGCTCTGGGGTGATTGACTGAGCCTATGGGGAAACCACCCCCACCTACTCCCCACAACAGAAAAGAATGACCATGTAGTACTAGGATGTTGGGAGCTTGCTCTGTGGACAGAATAGTACTCAAACCCTGCCACTCCACAACCTTCTGTAGGTTAAGAGCAAGTCCTAGACTGCCAATTTAACTGCAAAGTCTGAAAGTATTACATCAGCTGGAGGTTATTAATTTACTGTCTGTGTAATTAAAGAACAGTATATTGACTTTGTAAATAACATACTGACAAATTAACATGTTTATTTTAACTCTGCATTGTCAAACACTAATTAATTAATATTGTGTCATTGGGATATAAAATACAGATAGTATTAAAGGAAAGTGAAATAGTCTATAGAGAAAATAGCTGTTTTTTTCACTTGTCTAAGATATTGTTTCCCTTTTTATTATAGAGGGGCAAATAAACTTTCAGATGAATTCTATTTTAATATTTTTGAAAATTATGTATTTTATAGAGTTTATTTGTACACTTACAGTTAAGGGACAGCTTCTCTTCTTAGCTGGTTAATCTTAAAGTGGTTAGAATATGTTAAAGTTTAAAGGCAAAAAAACAGGCAGCATAAAAGCACATTATAACTTCACAAATTATATGTGTGATCTATGTGAAAAATACCTAAAGAAACATTTTCTGTTTTATTTCTAGATTTGGCCATCAGCATAGCACCGTTTTTTATTTTACTTGTTTGATTTAAAATATAAGGAGTTCTCTATTAATCTCACTAGCAAAATCAAGCATTAAATGAAAGCTACTCCTCAGTCTAGGAATGAGGGGAAAAAAAGAATTTTTTGTTATTTATTTCAATAGCTTTTGGGGGTACAGATAGTTTTTGGTCTGGACTTTAAGTGTACCCACCACCCCCACCTGTGCACATTGTACCCAGTAGTTGATTTTTTTGTCCCTCTACCACATCCCCTTCTCCCCCTTCTGAGTCTCCAGTGTCCATTATACCATATTGTATGTCTTTGCAACTCCTTAGTTTAATTCCCACTTCTAAGTAAGAACATGCAGTGTTTGGTTTTCTGTTTCTAAGTTAGTTTGCTTGGGATGATGTTCTCCAATTCCATCTAAGTTGCTGCAAAGACATTTTTTATTTTGAATAGCGGAATACTATTCCATGGTGTATATATACCACATTGTCATTATCCACTGATCGGTTGATGGGCATTTGGGTTGATTCCACATCTTTGCAATTGTGAATTGTGCTGCGATGAACATGTGGGTACAGGTGTCTGTTTTATATAATGGCCTTCCTTTGAGTAGAATCAGTAGTGAAATTACTGGATCAAATGATAAATATACTTTTAGTTCTTTGAGAAATCTCTATACCAATTTCCATAGAGGTTATACTAATTTACACTCCCCACAGTATATAAGCGTTCCCTTCACATCCACACCAGCAACTATTTTTTTTTATTATTATTTTTTAATTATGGCCATTCTGGCTGGTGTAAGGTGGTATCTCATTGTGATTTTGATTTGCATTCCTCTGATGATTAGTGATACTAAGTATTTTTTTTTTTTTTTTGGACATATACATCTTCTTTTGAGAGATATCTGTTCATGTCATTTGTCCACTTTTTAATGGAGTTATTTGCTTTTTTTTCTTGCTGATGAGTTTGAGTTCTTTGTAAGTTCTGTTATTCATTCTTTGTCAGATGTATAGTTTGTTAATATCTTCTCCCTTTCTGTATTTTGCTTGTTTGCTCTGTTGATTATTTCTTTTGTCTGTAGAAGATTTTTAGTTTAATTTAGTCCCACTTATTTATTTTTGTTTTTGTTGCAATTGCTTTAGAGGTTTTAACCATAAATTCTTCGCCTTGGCTGATGTCCAGAAGAACTTTTCCTAAGTTTTCTTCTAGGATTTCTGTGGTTTTAGGCTGACATTTAAGTTTTTAAACCATCTTGAGTTAATGTTTATATATGGGGAGAGACAGGGATTAAGTTTAATTTTTCTGCATGTAACTATTCAATTTTCCCAGCACCATTTGTTGAATAGAGTGTCCTTTCCCAATGTATATTTTTGTCTGCTTTGTTAAAGATCAGTTAGTTGTAAGTATTTAGGTTTATTTCTGGGTTCTCTGCTCTGTTCCATTAATGGGTCCATGTGACTGTTGTACCAGTACCATGCTGTTTTGGTTACTGCAGCCTTGAAGTCAGGGAATGTGATGCTTCCAGCTTTGTTCTTTTTGCTTAGGTTTGCTTTTGCTATTCTGGCTCATATTTGGTTCCCTATGAACTTTAGGATTGTTTTTTCTAATTCTGTGGAAAATGACATTGGTAGTTTGATAGGATTGTATTGAATCTGTAGATTACTTTGGGTAGTATGGTCCTTTTAACAATGTTGATTCTTCCAATCCATGAGCATGAGATGTTTCTTCATTTGCATGTGTCCTCTACAGTTTCTTTCATCAGAGTTTTGTAGTTCTTCTTGTAGTGACATGTTACCTCCTTGGTTAAATATATTCCTAGATAGTTTAGCTTTTTCGGCTACAATTATAAATGGAATTGAGTTTGTGATTTGATTCTCAGCTCGGTTGTTATTGGTGTATAGCTGTGCTACTGATTGTGTGTGTTGATGTTGTATGTATCCTAAAACTTCACCGAATTCATTTATCAAGTCCAGGAGTCTTTTGGATTAGTCATTAGGATTCTCTAGGTATAAGATCGCGTTGTTGCCAGAGTGAGATGGTTTGATTTCTTCTTTTCCAACTTGGGTAAACTTTCTTTCTTTCTTTCTTTTTTTTTTTTTTACCTGAATTCTCTGGCCAGGACTTCCAGGATGATGTTAGATAGAAGTGATGAAAGGTGGGGATCCTTGTCTTGTTCTAGTTCTTAGGGGATATGTGCTAAACTTTTCTCCATCTGCAATGGCATTGACTTTGGGTTTAACATATATGGCTTTTATTATTTTGAGGAATGTTCCCTCTGTGCCTGTTTTGCTGAGGGTTTTTATCATGAAAGGATGCTGGATTTTATTAAGTACTCTTTCTGTGTCTATTGAAATGATCATATGAGCTTTGTTTTATGTAGTGGATCACCTTTATTCACATGTGTATTTTGAGCCACCCTTGCATCTCTGGGATAAAACCCACCTGGTTGTGATTAATGTGCTGTTGAATTTGCTTTGCAATATTTTACTGAGAATTTTCACATCTGTGCTCATAAGTGAATTTGGTCTCTCGGTTTGTTTTTTTGTTGTGTCTTTTCCTGGCTTTGGTATCAGAATGATACTGGCCTCATAGAATGAGTTAGAGGGGATTCCCTCTTCTTCAGTCTTGTGGAATAGCTTCAGTAAAATTGGTACCAGCTCTTCTTTGAAGGTGTGGTTTAATTCAGCTATGAATTCTGGATTTTTTTTGTTGTTGTTGTTGTTGGGAGACTTCTAATTCTGTTTCGATCTTGCTACTCATACTGGTCTGCTCAAGACTTCTATTCCTAATTCAAGGTTGTGGGGTTGTATGTTTCCAAGAATTTATCCACTTCTTCTAGATTGTCTAGTTTGTATAGAGGTGTTCATAATAGTCTTGAATGAGCTTTTGAATTTTCTCCAATCAGTTGTAATGTCTCCATTTTCATTTCTAATTGAGCTAATTTGAGTTTTCTCTCTTCATTTCTTAATTAATCTACCTAGTGGTTTGTCAATTTTGTTTATCTTTTTAAAGAACCAACTTTTTGTTTTATTTATGCTTTGTGTTTTTTTAATTTCAATTTCATTTAGTTCTGCTCTGATCTTCGTTATTTCTTTTCTTCTACCTGCTTTGGGTTTGGTTTGTTCATGTTTTTCTGGTTCCTTGGAGTGTAATGTTAGGTTGCCAATATGCAGTTTTTCAGTCTTATTAATGTAGACCTTAAGCACTATAAATTTTTCTCTAAGCACAGCTTTGGTTGTGTCCCAGGGGTTTTGATAACTTGTTTCATTGTTGTCATTCGTTTTGAGGAATTTTTATATTTCCATCTTGATTTCATTGTTGACTCAAGGATCATTCAGAAGCAGATTGTTTAACTTCCATGTTTTTGTTTGGTTTCATGAGTTCTTCCTGGAGTTAATTTCTAGTTGGATTCACTATGGTCTGAGAAGGTGCTTGATAGGATTTGATTTTTTTTAATTTATTGAAACTTGATAGATCTGTCTTATGGTCTATCTTAGAGAATGTTCCATGTGCTGATGAGAAAAAAATGTATATTCTGTAGTTTTGGGTGGAATGTTCTGTAGATGCCTTTAATTCCATTTGCTCTAGGCTCCAATTTAACTTGGGTATTTCTTGACTTTCTACCTTGATGATCTATCTATCTCTTGCTGTTAGTGGAATGTTGATGTCTCCCACTATTATTGTATTGCTGTCTATCTCTTTTTTTAAGGTCTAGTCAAATTTGTTTTATAAAGTTGAGGGCTCTGGTGTTAAGTGCATATATATTTTAAATTGTTATGTCTTCTCATTGGATTGATTCCTTTATCATTATATAATAACCATCTTTGTCTTTTTTTATTGTCTTCTCATTGGATTGATTCCTTTATCATTATATAATAACCATCTTTGTCTTTTTTTATTGCTGTTAATTTAAAGTCTGTTTTATCTGCTATGAGAATAGCTACTCCTACTCATTTTTGGTTTCCATTTTCATAGAATATTTTTCCCCACCCCTTTACCTTGAGTTTAAAGGAGTTTTTGTGTGTTAAATGGGCCTCTTGAAGGCAGCAGATATTTGAGTTGTGTCTTGTAATCTATTCTGTTAGTCTATATCTTTTTAGTGGGGCATTGATACCATTTACATTTAGAGTTAATAATGATATGTAAGGTACTGTTCCATTCATCATACTTATTGTTATCTGGTTGTTTCATTAATTTTTTTTTTCTATTATGTTGGTGTTTATAAAGCTTTATGATTTCCAGCATTTTTCTACTGGCGTATTTCACCCTTCTGTTTCAATATTTAGAATGCTTTTGAATATTTCTTGTAAAGCCAGTCTAGTGTTGACAAATTCCCTCAGTGTTTGCTTGTCATGAAGGACTTCATTTCTCCTTCATTTATGAAACTTAGTTTTGCAGGGTACAGAATCCTTGGCTGATAGTTACTCTATTTGAGAAAATTTAAGATAGGGCCCTAATCCCTAATGACTTGTAGGGTTTATTCTGAGAAGTCTGCTGTTAGTTTGATAGGTTTACCTTTGTAAATTATTTGATGCTTTTGTCTCGCTTCTCTTAAAATTATTCCTTCATAATTACTGCATAACCAGATGATTATATGCCTTGGGGATGAGCTTTTCGCTATGAATTTTCTGGAAATTATTTGAGCTTCTTGTATCTGGTTGTTTAAATCTCTGGCAAGGCTAGGGAAGTTTTTCTGCATTATTCCTTCAAATGGGTTTTCCAAACCTGTTGCTTTCTCTTCTTAGGAATACCTATGATCCTTAGGTTTGTGTGTTTCACATAATCCCACATTTCTTGAAGATTTTGTTCCATTCTCTTGTTGCTTTTTTTCTTTATTGTTGTCTGATTGGGTTAATTCAAAAGCCTTGTCTTCAAGTTCTGAGACTCTTTTTTCTGTTTGTTCTAGTCTACTGTTAAAACTTTCCACTGCATTTTGTACTTCCCTGAATGGTTATTTCACTTCCAGAATTTCAGCTTGGTTTTGTTTGTCTGTTTGTTTGTTTGCTTGTTTGTTTTTAAAGGTGTCTATCCCTTTGTAGAATTTTTCATTAATGTCCTGAATAATTTTTAAAGTTTCTTTACGTTGGTTTTCAGTTTTCTCCTGAAGCTCACTGATCAATTTTAAAATCAATCCTTTGAATTCTGTGTCTGGAATTTCAAAGGTTTCATTTTGGTTAGGGTCCATTGCTGAAGAGTTAGTGTAGTCTTTTGGGGGTGTTGGAGAACTGTTTTTTCATATTGTCAGAATTATTTTTCAGGTTCCTTCTCATTTGGGTAGACTGTTTCTTCTTATTTGAGGTTGGCAGGGAGCTGACATAGGCACTGTAGGGTTCCCTTGGTTACATATAGCCTTGGTGTGGTGAGTTTCTCAATTGCCAGCTGTGGCAGTCTTGTGCTGGGTAACTGCACTGGCTCACAGCATCCTGTGTGACCAGAGTGGCTTGGAAAGTGGTGTTAGCTGGGGTTCTGGGATCAGATTTTTCTCAAAGCTGAGGTATTATATCCAGTGTGGTGGGCTATGCTGTTGACCTCTGGTCAGGAGGTGATGCTTGTGGGAAAAAGCCAGCTGCAATGGTAGCTGTAGGCTTTCGCCTTGGCATGTGTTGCTCCAAGGAAGTGTCCAGCCATCCTAGGTGGATAGCGAGGCTCTGCAGATTACCCAAATTTTCTGTCTGTTTTGAGCCTTAGGCGGGGAGTATGGGGTGGAGAAGCTCAAACACCCAACAGGTATATACTCTTGGCTTATCCAGTGGGAATTAGGAGGGAGTCCCAGGCCACTGGAGTAATGCTGTTGTGCAGGGCAGGCACAGAAACCTTTACACAAGGAGTGATATGTTACTATGGCAACAAATCTCACCCATCTCCCACCTTAGCCTCAGGCAGTTTGCCTTCTAAATGTCAAAATGCAGTTAGTACTAGGTATTCTCATAGTAGTCCACTCCAGCCAAGAACTGCCTGCCACAAGGAGTTTGCCTAGAAAGCAGCTGCTCGCAAGGGTTGAGCTCCTGGAATATGGCAGCTGGAGCTGTTCAGAGCTTGCTTTCTTTCTTTTTTTTTTTCTTGCACATTCCTCATAGGTTTCAGCAGAGCACGACTGTTGGTAAGGCAATTTTCCCTGAGGGACTGGAGTCCCACAAGGCTCAGGGGGTCCTCCAAGTCTACTGTAGGAGCACAGAGCTCCTGATTTCCCTCACTCACTTTCCCCTATGTATCTGGAGGCTGCCAGTGGTCTGTGATCGGGGTATCCAGATCAAGTCAGTGGATTTTTCTCTTCTTTGCACTATGTGGTTATTATCAGTTCTTTGATGAGTCGTGGGGTTTGTTGCTGGTTCGGTTCCTCTCTGAATGCTAAGGAAACTCTGTCTTGGTTTATACCATAGGAGAAACACACTTTTAGCTGCCTCATGTTGGCCATCTTGCAAAAACAAATAATTTTTTTTTAAAATGTTTGAAGGCTTCTACATAAAAGCTCTTCTTTCACTTATCCTTTCACTTTCTTACCCTTCACCTTCTTACTTTTATGTAACATATTTTTCTCATTTGATTTTATTTAATCTGCAGAACATTAGAAGCAATAAGCTAAAAGAGACATCGAGAGAACTGACAGAGGCAGGTACTCTGAGTCTGCTGGCTCATCCTGAGAATACAGAGAAGCTAAAACATAGATAGAGCATTTCATCATTGCTCAGTAGTTGGTCCAGTTTTTGTACAGATGCACCGAGTCATTGATCAAGACATTAGAAGGCATTCGGTATACTCTATTTCAGATGGCAGGAAAGCTTTTCATATGTTTCCCAAGTGCTGACTCTCGGTATCTGCCGTTATCTTAGGCTGAACGTCAGTGTAAGCCTGTGCTCCCTCAGTTTAGAACGTATGTTCCTTCTGAGAGAAGACCTGAGATGCATAAAGACATTTAAAGGAAACTTTAATACTGGAAGGCTTAACAAATTTTAGTGGTTTATGGGATTTTTGTTTTATAGATAATCTGTGTATTTAAGTTTAGGAAGAGTTTTATGTATTAAAATGAGTTATACAAAATCTTGTTTTTACATTGTTTAAGCCCATACAGTAATACCTGTTTCTAAAGAAATTAGTGTATTTTTTATTGCTACTTTTGACTATTCAACAGTTTATTATTATCTTAAATGGAAAGTCACTACAGAGTTGTACATACATTTGTATTCCCTAGATAAATTTATTTTTTAATTTTTAGATTATGTCACTGAGGACCTATACCTATTTGGTAAAAATGATGTGTTTTTTTAAGCATCCTATGTTTATTTAGCTGTATTTATTAATATTCAACTTGATTTCAATAGAAATAAGCTTATTTATTTTACAATGTTCCAACAAAGGGGGAATTATAATAATTAGATACAGACTGAGAACTTCTCATGGGTGGTCATTATGTATTATTTATATTTATGTCCTTCCCACAGAGCACATGTCTGGCACTTATAGGCTTTCAATGAATGTTTCTTGATTGAGTTAATTTGGCCTTCATAAGATTTTTTTTCAATTTTTTATGTCTTCTTATATCGTCTTAATTCATTTTTTTATTTTTCTAGGTAATGAATGGCTTCTTCAAGGACAGATACCATCTGGAGACATAGAGAGCATTTCCAACCAACCAACAATTTCACTAGAAATTCCTGACAATTGCTTATCACTTGAAGCCATTGTATCGATCAGTGTGTTTCTTTATTACTGTAGTGCAGACAGCAGTGCTTGCATGATGAAAGCAATTTTGTTCAGTCAGCCTTTACAAATAACTGATACACAACAAAGTTGCATAGCTCCAGTAGAGCTCAGGTATGTATTTTCGCAAGCTAGCTAGCAACCCAGCAACGCAGCGCCCTGTCCTCCATCTTTTCCATCACTGTAACTTAAGAAAGAAAACTTTATCTCTGCCTCTGGATACCAAGACGCCCATTGCTCAGTTCTAACAACGGGCATTACAATAAAGTTATACTCCTTACTTGCTTTTTCATTGTAATCAAATTCCTTTGTTCTGGCTGTATACTAGCTAAGTCGTTGATCATCATTTGAATTGCGATATCATAATCTGTGGTGCTATCTGGCACAAGACTGAAGTCTGCATTACAGTGTTGAATATTATCTTCAGATAATTTGCAGTGATTACTACTACTAATAATAATACCAAATATTTTAACTAACTTTTCTACCTTTATTAATCACCGTCAACACACTTGAATGTGTAAATTTCAAAATAACTTTAGACAGAACTTAAGCTCCTAAGCTCCAGTTCACATTTGTATAAGGACACCTGCTATTCAAGGCATAAGGTCTATAGTAAGCCAAAAAATAATAAAATTTTTTTTCATCACAGTAGATGCTTAATGAGCACATGGGTGGTAAATATGATCTTTATTCTCTGTGATTTTCTCAGTTGAGATTTTTAAAAGAGAATTTTAATCTTTTATTATAAATTATTTGTTGCTTTAACATACCTTAATAATACCTTATACCTTTATACAGATAAAGTTGGACATAGAATCTCTAAGGACATACATATCTACTCCTTTAACTTTATTTTTGAGTGAACACATTCTTACCAGATGACTTTTCAGGAAAAAAAGGAGTTAGGGACACAACTGCTTCTGATAAAGGATTTATTTTGACAACTAAATCTGATGTAAGTGGTTATGTATGTTGTTTTAGAAATTTATATTTTGTTTGTAAGCATTGAATGCAGATTTGTTGAGTTTTGGTTTTGGTTTTTTTGATTCCCATATTCAGGATTTGAATTGTGATCATTTATTGTGATGTTTTTTCAAATCACTTTGAAGCCTTCAAAGTCAAATTTTTAATGTACAGTACTTTCATGCTATTAGTAGGTAGAGTATATCTTAATATATTATTGTTTAAACTATTAAGGCCGAAAAACAATGAGCTGATAAAACTTTTTAAATTTTTAACCCTAAGAAATAGCCACTGAAGATATTGAAAGTTTTTATTATTATGGTTTATCTTTATAATTATTTAAAAGCCTATTTTTGTTTTTCCTAAAACCAATTCAACATGTTCATGTTTTAATCAGCTTATAAGATTTTAAAAACATAAGGTATATCATGTTTATTTATCCAGTAAATATTTCTAGACAATATTGCATTATATGCTTTCCTCCCCCTCAAAAACGATGCTGAATTTGAAGTGTAGTCTTTTAAAACACTATGTCTTGCCATTAGTTTTGAAACATAGTATGTTTGTTTTATTCATAAGGTTAGTGAAATCTGTGAAGAGAATGTATAAATCATAACTTGATTTACTTAGTACTTTGCTAAAGCTATTTTTAAGAGAAATATAGATGTAAAATGAAAAGGAATCCTGTTTAAAATTATATGTAATTACCTCATAAACTTTTTCTCTCCACAATTAAAAAATAATGTCCTGTAATAAAAGAATTTGAAACATTTATATTCTCTTTTATGGAGAATAGGCCTTAGTTATTTTTAATTTCATTTGACTTATTGTTTTTCTCATTTCTGGTTGGACAAGATGAGAATATTTTGGCTCAATCCCTTCCTGTTTAAGGACATAAACAGTTTTCTCTCTAAAAGAAGTACATTAAATTTTAATTTGCTAATTTAAAAATATTTGATAATTTATTTTTCAGTTATAATACACAAACACATTGTATTATATATTTTCGTGTACATTGAAAATGAAAAAATATTTTTTAGAATTAATTACCCTTTGTCTAGACAGACTTTTAGGTTAGTCCTAAACTTACATTTTTCTTGACTTTCAAAGTACACTTTTATTGAACATTCTTATTCTCACCCACTGCCGATCTGTATTTTTAAAAACTAAAAACATTATTTATAGTAAATATATATTTATAGTATAATTTTTAATAAATTGCACTAAAGCAATATAAATAGGTTTCTAGAATTGATGACTAGCATAAACCTCTTGCATAAGAGAAGCACTAGAAAGTTTATTTTTAAAATATCTTGATCTTTGACTTCTTTTTTCTATAAGGACTTCTGTATATTTTTAACTTTTGCTTTCCTTGTTGCATAAATTATGATGTCCAGGGATAGTTTAAAGAGCAAAATTTTTGTGCAAGCCACCTTAATCAGAATGTCATTGATGTGACATGACATACACTTTGACATAATACCTGGAATCTTTGCCCTAAATTTTTATGCTGCTTTGTCACTGTTTTTTCTTCCTCTCTTTGTAATCATTTTACAAGTGGTAGAATTTTTTAAATTCATATTCAAGATTGATATGATTTCTCTACAGAGTTTTGCTTATCTTGTATATTCTGTCTCAAGCAAATACTGAACCTATTCACAAGGAAAGCCTTGCAGTTTAGTCACCCATATGTGTAACTTTGGCAAAGTTCAATGACTATAAAACACGATTTTCTCCTTAACTCTTGTAAAAATATATTTAGTTATAGTATTATCAAGGCTTCAGAAAACTATAAATTTTAACACAGCCAAAAAAAATTTAATACGTGTGTTTTATATATGTATTTTTATCTCTGTGTGTGAATATACATACACAGATGCAAAGATCAGTTTAAGATTATCTCATATTTCTTTTATGACCAATATACTTCTAAGCTAATATCATGAGATGAGTAATTCTTTGCTTGTTTTTCTATATTTGAAAAATGTGGGTAAATGTTGAAAACATGTATGTCTATAATATGATTATTTTCCACCTGTACAAAATTTACTATTAATTTGTATCTGCCAATTAAAATGACTTCAGTCTAGCCAATATATTTGGCATTATGTTTAAGAATAATCATTAAAACCTAACTAAATTCTATAGTTCACAGTTACATAAAAATAGATGCAGAGAGAATATGTCAATTATGGTTCCCCTGAATGATGAATTATGGATTTTTTATTTTAATTCTACTTTTCTATATATTTTTTTCAGTGAGCAGTCTGTTGTTATTTAAATCAGGAAATAAAACTCTAAAGTTTTTTGAAGATTTAAGTGAATTGTAAGCACCTTTTAAAGTCACTTTTATTACCAAAGATCATAAAATAGTTTAGAATCCTTTGATCTACCAGTTCTCTTAAGTATGTGATTTTGTGAAGATATGAAGATTGAAATTATTGAAGCTTTTTTGTTCTGGTGTTTTTATTGTATAATGTCATACTGGGGTAAGAGCATGAATTTTTGCAGTAACTTGGATTCAAATCCTATAAAATGGGGCTAAGATATCTGCCTTATGGGGTTGTTATGAATATTCAATGAAATATTGTTTGTAAAACATTTAGTAAGTAGTGAAACTGGTAATTTTTTGACTTAGTTAAATTAATGATAATTTATGACCATAGACACATATCCCTTACTGTTTTCTTTGCACCTGAAATTTCTAAAGGAAAAGATTTCTTCTACCAACTATTTGGTATGTTAATATTCTCCATAGAGTTGAGTACAAGAACAGAAATACAGTTTTATAATGAGTCATATTGCTATTTTATAAATAATGTCATAGTTATAAAGCATACTTACAGTTGTATTAAAATTTTTAAAAGGACCTTGCAGAACTATGAATAATAAACTTGCTTTGGTTTGAGAGCGTCCAGATATACTCACCCCAAATATATAACTACAACATGTGCCGAACAACTTATACTGGAGTACTTATATCTTAACCAAAAAGTTTCATTCTGATGGTGCTTTATAAAATCTTCAAAGTGCTTTCATGTATATTGCTTCATTTGAACTTCAAAATACAGATCAGACAGATAGATGGTATGTCCCTTTTACAGTAGAGAAGACAGCTTTGGAATATTGGTGATACAACTGAAGGTCAGAAAGCTCCAGGATAATGCCCAGTGCCTAAAGTGGTGCCTGGTACCAGCAGATGCTCAGTTCTGTCAAGTGACTCAAGGGCGAATAGTGAGTGGTAGCTCTTATTCAGGCACAGATCTCCTCCTAATCCCTAACTCTACTCCAAGACACAGAGGGAAAACACTGTTCAGTTAAGGGTACTTGCTGCTGTGGACCCTTTCTTAAGCCTTCAAATAAAGTAATAAGAATAATAGCTAATGTATTGAGTTCTTACTATTTGCTAGCACTTTTCTAACTGCCTTATATGTACTAACTCATTTAATATGACAACAGTATGAGGGACTATTTTTCCTTGTTTGACCCTTGAGAAAATAGAGAGAGAGTAAGCAGTCATATCAGCATGAATCAAGAGCACACATTTAGGGAGTGACAGAGCCTGGATGGAAGTCTGCTCAACTTCCTGCTCAAGTCACCTCTCAAAGTAGATTTTTTTTTAAAAAAATACATTTCTTAACTTTATATAGTAATTTAATCCAAAGAACCCCAAAAGTCCTAGCAATGGTTGTGTCTGAAAATTTACTTGAATTTAATTATATGACTTTTCATCATATACTCATCATTCAGGTCTTAGGACAGTCTGTATAATTGTTTCAGATTTTATGTACCACTCTTTCTTAATTTCAGATATTATCCAGAGTTTTTCTTGGCAGATGGATATATTAAAGAAATAGCTTTCCAATGTTAGTTCCAACAGTGCTGTTTCATTTGGTCTTCTAAAGGTAATTAAGACCTTGTCATAAAGAGTAACTGAATTCTTAGCACAGGATGATGCTAAACCCATGAAGCATATTCATATTTAAGAAAATTTTGTTTTATTAGCCAAAACGAGCTCAGAAATATATTCTTCTGCTGTCTTATTTTGTAAACTGGTATGTAAACCCCCACCTCCAGTGACTTAAATATATGTAGTACTGTTATAGTAAAGTTTTCACTAGGGTCAACCTATTATTCCTGGATCAGGTACTGTTAGAAGGAAAGAAGCAAAATGCTACATACCAGTGATTATGATTCATGATCATCCAGGTACAGACTGCAGACATCTTTTCATTGTTTTAAAAGTAGTTTGCTGCTTAAGTAGTGTTATGGTATAGTCCTGAAATCCATAAGGAAATGTACGCCAACTTAAGAAAG